ATCAAGGTAAAAGCGCCACACTTCCGCACGGGAGGAAGGGAGATGGGGGTGGGTGGGGAGCCGGGACTGGGGAGAAGAAGGGAAGAGTCCAGGAGGAAGGGATGGAGCCAGGCAGGTAGCGACAGAGGGACTTGGGGAACAACGGACCCCTTTCAAAAGGATTCTATGAAATTGTTTCCATGAGGCGTGATGTGAATTCTCCACCTCACCTTTCCATGTGTTGTCCTGTTAACGTGTGGGCCTGTGGAGCTGGAAAAGGCTGTTCAAATGTTCCAGATATCTCATGGAAGCCACTGCGGTCTGGAATAGCGGCCGGGGCACTGAGCAGAGATGGTACCTAAAGAAAGAGCTGGGCACTGTTAGAAAGTGACCAGAAAAGGAGTTCTGGGATGGCACCTACTCTTGCTCCCTGCGTCGGTCAGTGGTCGGTCTCCCTGCACTGTGCCAGGCTCTGGGACCGTTTGGGGAGAGCCCAGATAATAATCTTCTCGCTGGTATCTCTGCTCACTGGCCCAGAGCAAACGTCGAAGCACAGAGAGGGAGACCAGTCTAGGCCGTTCCTGGGTGTTGAATCAGACGTGGGTGTGTGTCTGGATTCTAGAGATGGACACTGTCTGACAAGTTTGTGTAGTTCTAACCTGAGGGGCTTGCTGGGTTCGCATGAGTGTGCGCTGCTTGGGGTCTCGGGAGCTCTCCCCTTCCTCTGCCCGTGGCTCAGCCACCCCGCCCTGTCCTACAGCGGCCCGCACAGACAAGGGCCACACTCTCTGTCTTGTGTGTGCTCTGTCTCTCCATCTCTCTGTCTCTCTCCCCTCGCTCCTCTCTCATCTCTCTAATTTACACAGTTCTTTAAAAAAAAACCTCCGTGTTTCCCTGCTGAGACTGTCTAATGAAGTATTTTATCGTATTCTGTCCTTTAAAAAAGAAGGAGGTGGAATGTTTATTAAATTAATTTTTTGCTTTAATGTACTCCCTCCATATTTCATGCTGTGGACACAACTGTTTCGGCAAATGACTTTTTCCAAGACGCCTGATTTATTTTTAATTGCCTCTGTCCCTCAGTTTGGTTCCGAGCTATGCTTGTTATTTCTTTTTGTTTGGGGGTTCGAGCCGGGCTAGCGCGCGTGAAGGCTTCTCCCTTTGGCCAGGCGAGGCTGCGGCTCAGAGGCAAGGATGCGTCCCTCCTGAATAGGGTACAAAGCACACGTTACTCTCCTGTGGCTTCCAGAATTACAACACAGTAGCATTCCGCCCAGGGTAGGAATTCTGTAACAGACGCCTGCCTGCGGCACCACAGTCTCCCATGCGCCACACATTGGTGAGGTCTCCTCCACAGCTGTGGGGACCGACCTCCAACAGCATCTCTCCACTGCACTACAACAATTCCTCCAAGGAGAGAAAACCACGCCCACTCCCTACATATTTCAGTCTTAAATACAGGTGGGGCAAAAGCAGGGTTTCACTTGTGAGTACCCAAAGCACAGAGCTTATTCTTGCATGACTGTGATTAATTATTGTATTGTTTTCCATACACAACTAACTGTAAGCCTGCTTTGTCCCACCCTGTACGTGTGCTTTCTAGAGAAAATATGTATACAGAAGTCATCTGTGTTCACTGTGGAACTAGGAAAAGGAACCAGAAACAAGGTGTGTGCGTGCAGGCAGACAGGGGGAAGGGTGTGTTGGAACCAAAGAGGTCATCAAGCACGCCCCCTGCAGGTGTCCTAAGGAGGGAGGTGGATAGTAATAACAGTGCTGGGAAAACACGCGTGGGCCCACAGTCTGCACGGCCCGAGACGGTGCTGAGTGCGTGTTCGCTCACCTTCCCGTGAGAGACACGCTCTTCTGACCCCTTTCCTGTGAGAAGGCTGACGCAAGGGGACAGGAAAGAGGGGCAGAGGCCAGACATCTTCCCGGGTCTGCTGAGTCCTCCCGGGCTTCCCGGGCATGGGGAGCCTGCAGGGGACCTGCCCCCAGAGAGGGAGGAGCGGGGTGACGGAGGCAGAGCAGTGAGCACTGCGGGTGAGCACGGCAGGGGCCGGGAGGTGGGGCAGCAGTCCCAGCCTCTCCCCCTTCATCATCCCCATCGCTTCCAGCTCTGCCACGACGAGGGCCAATCATCAGTTATTTGGACTCAAATTTGACAAATTAAATTGCGGAGAATTAAATAAGTTGTAGATCAATACATCAGAACATTCAATTAATTATTCCTCCTAATTAAAACGACGAATCCCTAATACCTTTCCGTTATATTTTATTGCCCACCTTCTAATTCAGAGCTTTTAGGCGATTGTATTGATTGCAGGTATAGTTATACCTGGGAGTCACATAATTTATTAATCAGCACAGCTCATTACGGGAGATCCGGTCTGATCACCGTCTCCGGGATGCAGAGGGCGTGTTTAATGCAGCCCAGGCTCTTCCTGACTCGATGAAGGTTTGTCGTTTCATTCCGCTCGGTGGCTCTGCACGCCACATGAAGTCCCTTCTTCTGAGAAAAAGAATTACAAGGAAAAGTAGGGGCGCGTACTCATAAAGCAGGTAAATGGACGAACTCCATTGGTTCTTCAGAATTATGTTTTCACTTTCATCTTTAATCATGAAGGTTTTGCAACGGGATTTATGGCCGGTAGGCTGGGAAAAGAGCGCTTGAGATTCAGGGATGAAAGGGCCTTTGCATGTACAAATGGGGCCTGCTACCTGATTGCTCAGAATACTAATGAAGGCGCAAGCTCTTTGCAATCTGCCGCGTGGCAGCCATCAATTTTGAAATAAGTACAAATAAAGTTTCTCATTTAACCTATGAATCTATTATTCCGGTGGCGACGCTGGACAACTGGCAGTTGTCAGAGGAGGAGACTGAAGCTCAGAGTTTTAGTAACTGGCCCAAGTGAGTCAGGCAGCAAGCGGAGAAGTTGGGACCAGACCTTGGCAGCTGACTCAGCAGCCCTGGGGCTTAGCAAGGATTCTATACAAATGAGTTAAATTAACTCAACACATTTTTCAGGGGGCACCTAGTACCATCCAAATGTGACAAAGTAGGCGTTTTCGGGGCCCCTGCAGCAACTCACTTGGCAAGAGATGGATGTGCGGCTGATGGGGGAACTGATATGGTTTTCCACAAAGCCTGACAATTAATCATACTTAATGAATGTGACTAACGTGTTAAAGGGACGAGCGATTAAAGTATTAGCATTCTGAACTTCTCCCTGGCTAATTTCTTCTCCTCCCCAGGGTTACCATCTTTCAAAGAGGTAGGGGCACAGAATTGCCCATAGGGATTTTATGGAACAGAAATGCATTTGAAATGGCTTAAATTGGGGACAGGCTGTGCAGTTCTCAAGTGGCTGTCAGTCTTCATGTATTGCTGCCCAAGCGAGGGACCGTTGGCTGAGCAGAGAAGTTGAAGCTGTCATAATGCCTAGAACTGGAACTGGGAAGCCAGGCACTTTCTGGCATAATGGTGTGTAAATAGGGCACAGACACAGGGCCTTCACGGGGGAGGCAGATTGCCTGTCTAAGCACAAGGTGGGGTGACAGTGGCCAAGGAGGCATGTCCCTGGGGCAGGGCCACAGGTGTCTCACTGGCTTTGTCCTTTATCCAGGATCATAACACAGAACTGCTGCATCATAAACGCATCTTGAGGACCATCTTCCGAGGATCCTGGCGCAGCCTCCTAAGAACACACTCCCCTTCCTGACTCCATCCACAGCCCATTGTGCAGATGGAAGCCTCAAGTCCGTAGAGAACAGAAGTGTCTCCGGATACAACTCACAGACTCGGGACTGGAAGGTTCCACCGCTTGCTGGCATTTCACTACTTCGGCAGTCGATCAGATTGGCTCATGGGGTTGTAAATGCCCGGGGTCCCAGACTCAGCGGCCTCAGGGGACAGGTGGGGGATGGAACTGAATGCAGTGGACAAGATGGGAAAAGGGACAGGAATGACTGAAAGACGGAGCCCTTCACATTCTAAAATCTCACTTAGGGAAACTGGCATGGTTAGGAGCGCAGACTCAGAGGGGGACGACCCCACTTCACCCCTTTCTGCCTATCCAGCCCTGGGCACAGGACCTCGGTTTCCTCATGGGAACATTGACTATCAATGAAAGAATGAAGCTAAAGCACAAAACCTAGTACATAGTAAACGCTTAATAAACATGAGCCGTTATCACTATCATCATCATTCATAAGCTTTGCACACAAGTCCCTGGCCTTTTAAAACCTATATATACATATTTTTTATCCTCACCCGAGGACATTTTTTAATTTTTTGTTCAAATAGAGTGGGAGGGAGAGAGAGGAAGAGAGAGAGAGAAACATCGACGTGAAAGGGACACATCGAGTGGTTGCCACCCGCACGACCCCACCAGGGCCGGGGACAAACTGCAACTGAGGTACGTGCCCTTAGCGGGAACTGAACCCCAGGTCTCTCTGGACCGCAGGTCGACGCTCTAACCACTGAGCCAAACCGGCCAGGGCCTAAAACCTATTTTTTAAGTAATGACAATAACCATTATAGTAAACACATAGCAGCTAATATATGGTGGTCTCTCTTCTAGGTTTTATATGTATACCCTATTTTACATCTATTAGGATATATATTAGCATATTCGTGCACATATGTTGCGAGCTATTATTATCCCTATTTAAACTATTATGAAATGTTATTCCTCTCCCTAGGTCCCCATACACGATGTTTTTGCCCTAAGGGGAGACATTCCCGGGGGGCCTCCACCGCCCCCTTTCTTCGGGTCAGATTCCAGCACAATGACCACAAGCCGCCCGTGCAGACGGACCGGGAAGCGGCTCCGCCTCCCCGCGCGGCCCCGCCCTCAGCGTGGGCTCTTAGCCCCGCCTCTGACGCACGCCCCTCCCCGCCGGCGTACTGCGACCGGCGCGCTGACGTCATGGCCCCGCGCCTCCCGCGCCTCTCCGCGCCTGCGCGGCGGCGGAAGGTCGTCTCTGTGACCGGCTCGGCGCTTGGAGCAGCTGTCGCCATGTTGTCGGTCGCTGCCCGCTCGGGCCCGTTCGCGCCCGTCCTGTCGGCCACGTCCCGCGCGGTGGTGGGCGCGCTGCGGCCCCTGGGGCAGCCCGCGCTGCCCGCCGCCTCGGAGCCGCTGGTGCTGGACGGGAAGCGGCCCTTCCTCTGCCGGGAGTCGCTGAGCGGCCAGGCCGCGCGCCGGCCTCTGGTCGCCGTCGTGGGCCTCAACGGTGAGCGGACGAGGGGTCGCCTTTCTCGCTCTCTCCGCCCTGGGCCCCGGCAGCCGCGGGGGAGGGCGGGTCTGCGGGGAGACGGAGCGGAGCCCCGCGGGGGCCGGGCGGCCGCGCTGGGTGGACCTGGGCCGGCCTGGCCCTCCGCGGCCTGCGCCCCAATGTGGGGGCCCCTCCGGCTCCCGCGCCCCGGCCTCTGCGCGCAGCCCCCCGCGGCGGCCCGGCCCCAGCCCCAGCCCCAGCCCCTTGCACGTCCTTTGAACTGGGGCAGATTTCCAGACAGTTTCTCACGAGCGAGATGCATTAATGATGATCCCAAGTCCGTAGGTTATGTCCTGAGATGCAGGTGGAAAAGAGCCTACATGAAGTCGTTCGTACACTCGGGGAGCACTTTCTGGACGCCCAGCAATAGGAGCTGCTGGGAATGCTTGGGGAGGTGCTGGGCGGGCCCCCACCTGTCCCTTAGTGCCCCCCACACTCAGCATCCCACACAGGAAGGGGCACACAAGCCTCAAGATCGCTCATAGTGTAGGGTGTCGGCAGTGGTTCCCAGCGCTGGGCCAGCGTGTCACCTGATGGTGCATCGCCAACCGGCAGAGAGGTTGATGATGTGCCCGTTTTACAGGCGAAACAGCTGGGAAGAGGTGAAGTGACTTGCACAGGGACGCACAGTGGCCGAGAGCGCGGGTTTGAAAGACTGACTCACCCTAGGTCCTCGTTCACCCTCTTCCATTTCTCTGCACTGCTGTCCTGGGGTGACCGGCGGCCTGCGGGCCTCTGCGCCTTTGTGGGCTCACCTGCACAGTTTTAAAAACTGGGAAGCTTTCTGGTATCATGAGATATTGGAAGCTGGCCACCCTGGGCCCTCGTTTCCACTCGGGAGAAGTCTCGTGTGCTCCTTAGCTGGAGCAAGTGCTTGTCCAGTCCTCCCCAGTCCCCACCAGGCCTACCTGAGTCAGCGTGTCACCTGCCAGGCCCCAGGGGCACTTGCCCTACGTGTGACCCAGTTGCCCCCACGATTCTGCCTTCATTCACCCTCTTCTCTGTACTTCCAGTGATACTGTCACATTTTCGACATTTCCAGTATTTTCCCCATCCTGTTAACCTCCAGGGTCAGGTCAAAATTTTATATTTGCTGATTCCCTTATGTGTGAAGGGACAGAACACTTTCCATTCTGTATTGTGTTTGCTTGTAATTCCTCTGACCTTGAGCTTGAGGGCGTAGAGAGTGTCTCCTTTATTTTTCTATTTCCCACAGCCTTGGATTTTGCACACAGTTGGTGCAGAGTATTTCTGAACGAATACGTGACAGTTTGTTAGGGGGCATCAATGGGTTTTGGAGAAACTGTTCAAGGTAGGAACAAAGTACTGTCCCAGGCCTGTTTGACCTTGAGGTGGGACACAGTGAGGGAGGAGAAAATTTCAACAGCAGAGGTGAACAGCACCATTGTAGTTTGTCACATTGGCTAAAGGGTTTCTTCTAAAAATCGGAGGCTTACCTGTCTTCCAGGAACTGGCAGATGATAGAGAACTGTAAGGCCAGCCCCGTTTCTGTGATCATGCCTTCAGCTCGTGGCTATGCTCACGGTAGAATCTCCCGTCCAGGTGGTGTGTGAGGAGGAGGAAAGCAGGGGGCGTGGGAAGGGAGCGGTTGGATCAGGAGAAGATCCCTGAGTTGAGAAGATTTCCAGGGTGCATCAGAGCTGACAAACAAAACTAGACAAATAAAAAAGAAACCTTGATTTGTTATGATGCCTTAGTTTTTCTCTATTTCTGGATGGTATTTCTACAAGTAACTGAGTTTGCTTTAATTTGAACTAACTCTAGCTACCATCTTTGCTATTAAAAGTCACAATAGCCCTGGCCAGTTTGCCTCAGCAGTTAGAGCGTCAGCCTGTGGACCAGAGAGTCCCAGGGTCGGTTCCCGCTAAGGGCATGTACCTCGGTTGCAGTTTGTCCTGGCCCCCGGTTGGGGTTGTGTGGGTGGCAGCCACTCGATGTGTCCCTCTCACATTGATGTTTCTCTCTCTCTCTCTTCCCCCCTCTCTTTCTCCTGCTGTATCTGAAGGTAAATGCAAAAATGTTCTCGGGTGAGGATTTAAAAATTTTTTTTTAAAAGTCACAATAATGGTTCATGTAGGTTATTTGCAGAATGATTTTTGCAGGCTGGCAGTCATTGCCCAGAGCACTCAATGGTAAAGCCCCGTGTAAAGTGTAACGGCTGCACAGAGTGGAGCAGACAGCTGGGTTTCTTTTGCCCACAGATCTCCAGAGGAAACTGTCATCGCCACTCTGGTTAGTGTTTCTGTCCGTTTCCGCAAGCACTGTTAGCATGGTTGAGGGCTGTGGCGCTGTTTTTGATGTAGGAGTGTTTCCTTCTGGTCCATCGTTCAGTACAGTGCACATCTCCCCTGTGTGACCCCTGCAGTGCTAAGGGAAAGCAGGTCAGACTCAGCCCCAGTCCCCCCTGACAGGTGAGCATGAGGGGAGGGAGGGCAGTGCGGCATGTGATGTCACTGCCATAGTTGTCAGTCTCAAGTAGGCACCACCTGTGTCCTGGTTCCCTCCAAGACACGGTGGGTTAGCCAGAAAAGTACAGGGAGTGGTTTTGATAGGTCTTACCGTTTGTGAATACCTGACGGCTTCCATGAAGGGATGGACCTTGAGAGCCAGTAGAATTTGCAATTTACATGAAAAAGCAATTTGTTGCCCTGGCCGGTTTGGCTCAGCAGTTGGAGCGTCAGCTCGTGGTCCAGAGAGACCCAGGTTCGGTTCCCGCTAAGGGCATGTACCTCGGTTGCAGTTTGTCCCCGGCCCCGGTTGGGGTCATGTGGGTGGCGACCAGTTGATGTGTCTCACATCAGTGTTTCTCTCTTACCCCCGCTCTATCTGAAGATAAATGCAAAAAAATAAAATGTCCTTGGGTGAGGATAAGAAAAAAGAAAAAGCACTTTGTTTTGGAAACTTCTTTCTTTTTAGAAACAACATATTTTCTAAAAGTGAGAGATATTAATGTTCTATTTTCTAAACAGGGAAACTTGGCAAAAAGTGATACCAGTAAGTTGATTTTTTCTAGACATTTAAAAATGCTATGGGGCAGAAGGGCGTGATCGTTTTATAAAAAATAGATAAACAGCTTGCATTCAAGGTACTACATAGATAGTAAACTTTTTTAGATGTATATATTTTTATTGATTCTAGAGTGAGAGAAAAGGAGAGAGAAAGATAGAAACATTGATTGGCTGCCTCCTGCACGCCCCCTACTGGGGATCAAGCCCACAACCCAGGCATGTGCCCTGACTGAAAATCCAACTGGCAACCTCTTGGTGCATGGATGAGGCTCAACCAACTGAGCCACACCAGCCAGAGCAACAGTAATTGTTTTTTTCTTTAACATTCGTTTGACACAAATATCTGGCCTGTGTGGCCTGCGGTAGTGGGCTGTTGCCCTCACTGAGAGGGGTGTGGAAGTGTCCTCTCCCATACTAGTAAAAAGATTGGCTCTTCTGGAGAGTTTATTTATTTTGATAACTATTTATTCTGATAAGGGTGTCCTTTTCTGCCCATTAGGGGTTTCACTTGAAGTTAAAGTAATACTAATTTATACTCTAAGGTCTGAAATAGAAGTCTCTAAATTTTCTGCACCAAAGTTATGCTGTAGTTCGCAGACTGTTCACTGTCTTGTAGTTAGTATTTTGCGAATTTATAGCAGCTCTTCTAGAGAACAGGCAGCAGTAGAATAAGATGGTTTAATAAGATCACACACATCAGTGTGTTGGTGGACTGGATGAGTGTAGGGTCCTTTCTAATCCAAAGAATGTGGGAGAGGTTTCACATAACTATTATATCTTGTCACCTTGAAGTGGGGGACTTTAAAATGTTATTTCCAGTGCTTTGACTCTTCAGACTCGATGCCGAGTTGTGGTCCTGAGTCTGCAGGGGTTGGTAAGGACGGACTCAGTGTCTGCATGTTGTCTGATGCTCTCAAGCCAGTGCGGTCAGTGTGCTTCATTTCGTTCTTAGTGTTTCATATGCCAGACCATCTCTGAGGCTGGTGGGTGGGATTTTTCACATTTTTATCATTTGATTCATGCTTGTGAATTGATTTTTGTTGTTGTTAATCCTCACCCAAGGATATTTTTGCATTGATTTTTGGGAGGCAGGGAGAGAGAAACATTGATGTGAGAGAGACACATGGTCTGGCTGCCTCCCACATAACCCTGACTCGGGCCAGGGATTGGACCTGCAACCCAGGTACACGCCCTTGACCAGAATCAAACCTGTGACCTTCTGGTCCTCGGTCCGATGCTCTAACCGCTGAACCAGACCGGCCAAGGCAGATTCATAACGGTCCGTTGCCTGATGGCTACCCGGCTCCGGGTCCTCTTCTGATTGCATCTTTACTCTGTTTGCCTTGCAGTCCCTGCTTCGGTTCGTTATTCCCATACAGACGTCAAAGTGCCCGACTTCTCTGACTATCGCCGCGCTGAGGTGTTAGACAGCACAAAGTCGTCAAAGGAGAGCAGCGAGGCCAGAAAGGGTTTCTCCTACTTGGTGACCGCGACGACGACAGTGGCCGTCGCGTACACTGCCAAGAATGTCGTCTCCCAGTTTGTCTCCAGCATGAGCGCCTCTGCGGACGTGTTGGCCATGTCGAAAATCGAGATCAAGTTATCTGACATCCCGGAAGGCAAGAACATGGCTTTCAAGTGGAGGGGCAAGCCCCTGTTTGTGCGTCACAGAACCAAGAAGGAGGTTGACCAGGAGGCCGCAGTGGACGTGTCCCAGCTGAGGGACCCACAGCACGATTTAGAACGAGTGAAGAAACCTGAGTGGGTCATCCTGATAGGTGTTTGCACACATCTTGGCTGTGTGCCCATTGCAAATGCAGGAGATTTTGGTGGTTATTACTGCCCTTGCCATGGGTCCCACTATGACGCATCTGGCAGGATCCGGAAGGGACCTGCACCTCTCAACCTTGAGGTTCCCTCCTATGAGTTCACCAGTGACGACATAGTGGTTGTTGGCTAGGACCTGAGCCGAGTCGTAGGCTCTTTCTGTCTCCATGTCACCTCAGCAGGGTTACTAGAGCAGGTCTTCTGTACTTCAAGTTGTTGATTTGGAACATTTAAGCTTTGCTGACAATGTATTTGCTAATGTTAATGTGAAGTAAATCGAATCTAATGTTGAATACCTTTGGGCATTCACCTAATAAAGCCACTGTTAAGTGTTGTGGGCGTGAAGACTTGAAAGGCGCAGTGTCTTTGACAGTTACTTCCAATTAAAGTCGCTGGCTGGTGCACAAGATGTCTGTGAAGTCTAATCACTCTTTTGTTTACATCGATGGGGCGCGGGTTCTGCAGAGCTCACGCTCAGTTAGGTTACATCAGCGGGTCGTGTCCCAGTCCTGAGAAGCTGGAGTTTGCAGGCCTCCCTCCTAGTCTTGCACGCCAGTCCTGGCTGTGCCCCTCCCCCCCCTCCCCCCACAAACACTGAAAGCTGTATGAGCGTGCTGAATGTGCTCCGTGGAAAAGAGCCCTGAAACTGTGTTCAGCCCTGAGTCTAGCCCCAGCTCCAGCTGGTGCCTTGCCTTTGTGACGGGCCAGGACATGTATTCGTCACTCACAGGAGTAAGTTAGTAATTAGAACTCTTTAGTGTTGACAGGTGGGCGTGGGCATTATCCGATGGCACCTTTCCAGACTTGCTCCTTCCTCGGGTGTGGGCTCGCACTGCCCAGCGAGGGGCGGAAGGGAGCAGTGTGCCGAGCCCTGACCCTGTCTGAACGGTCTGCTGTTTGTTTCTGGAGTGCTGGTTCCATCGGAGGTGCCTCTTCCAGTTGGATTTGCAGTAACAACTTTCTGCTGTGAAATGAGGGTGGGCACAGGGAGACATCAGAGTGAACTCACCTCCTGCCTGCTTCCAGTTCCCCCTGCAAAACCACCAAAGTCTGACACGCCCCCTGAGACCGGGCAGTGGGCTTTCCTGTGCTGAGTCTCAGCCACCTTGATAAGTTTGTCTTCTCTGCTGTTGGGACATTGACCTTAAGGACTCTGCCGGGTCCACCCCTGCCCACATGTGCCTCTGGAAAGCGGCAGCTCCTTTCAGTGGTGAGGCCTGCGAGGGGGGCTGGCCGGCCCGCTTCCAGTCTGTGTGCAGGGGGGCTGGCCGGCCCGCTTCCGGTCTGTGTGCAGGGGGGCTGGCCGGCCCGTTTCTGGTCTGTGTGCAGGGGGGCTGGCCGGCCCGCTTACGGTCTGTGTGCATGGGGAGCTGGCCAGCCAGCTTCCGGTCCGTCAGTCAGTGTCAGAGTGGAAAGGGCACAGTTCCCACGCCTGGGCAGATGCTAGTCTGGTTGGAGTTTTACTCACTAGAAGGAAATGAGCAGGTGTGATTGACGAGGCATGTGACACTACGTCATGTTCCAGCCTCTGCACGATGGCATTTAAGCTCAAACATTGAGGTGTAAGTATTAGACAAAAAGTGCCAACCATTGCTCATTCACTGCCCTCGGTGTGTTGTCTATTTTAAAGGGAGGGCTTTCAGATCTGCTGAGCGTATGTAGGTTACCAAGGAGACGTGGGTGTTTAACAGCAGTGAGGTGGTATCGCTTATTAGCAATGTAGACACGTGCTTGGTGTTGGCATTTGGAGTGCCTCGTGTGAATGCCCCTCCCCCCCCCCACAGCATCATGGGGCCAAGAGAAGTCGGTACAGCCCTGGCCGGTTTGGCTCAGCGGTTGGAGCGTCGGCCTGCGGTACAGAGAGACCCGGGTTCGGTTCCCGCTAAGGGCATGTACCTCTGTTGCAGTTTGTCCCCGGCCCTGGTTGGTCGGGCGGGTGGCAGCCACTCGATGTGTCCCTTCACATCGATGTTTCTCTCTCTCTCTCTTCCTCTCTCTCCCTCCCGCTCTATCTGAACAAAAAATGTCCTCGGGTGAGGATTAAAAACAAAACAAAAACAAGAAGTCGGTACATATCTGTTAGATAACTTGCTTGTGTATCGTCGTAAAGATTGTTTTTCAGATATTTATGGGGCAATCATCTTACCCTTTTTTTCTACTCATGCTACCTTTACATGATATCACTTGCCCACAGCTCATGGCTTAAAACTACCAGTCTGTTGTCTAGTCTAAGCTGACAGGTTTTGAGTTTGCACTGGAAATGGCTTTCTTTTCTAATAAGGCACCAGGAGCTGTTCATCCCTGCAGGAGGTAACTGTGCGGGAACTCTGCTGGCATGTATGTTACGTCCATGGAGGACTCTCATGGGATGATAGATAAAAATGCAACTTTTGATTGGAAGGTGAGCTATTAAAGCTGGAGTAGAAACCTGGAAACACTGTTGTAAATCTTTGGAGCCCAGCGAATCTGGGTGACCATTGTCCTCATAGGTCAAAGTTGAACCTTTCCTTCAGGACATAGTAGAAGCCACGAGCTCCTCCCAGGTCCATGCAGGAGGTGGCGTGATATAGAAGTGCTGGACCGGAGCTGGAGGTTTTCGCTCTGGCTTTGCACTTCCTGGCTGGGGAGCCACGGGCCTGTCACCTCACCTGCTCTGGACATTGGCTCTGTTATCCGTAAAATTGGGATGGTCGGACTGGATCGGCCATTTTTAACCGGAGTGCCGCAAGAATTTTTATAGCCTGCGATACCTAACTCGTCCCCAAGTGGGCCTGATCCCCGCTGGTGTGCCCAGTCCTCTGCCCCCGGGGTCTCGGTATCTGCTGTTCTGCTGCTTGGGACCCTTCCTACTGAGGGACCTAGAAGGTGCCAGTCTCAGACCGCGGGTGAACACGGAAGCCTGTTTGGTGGAATGGGGGCGTCTCCAGGGTGGTGTCCCCAGAACACACTCTGGGAACCGCCTGTTGCCTCATGGGTCCTGGGTCTTTCACTTTCTGTCAGTTGGATTTTCCTCAGACTGGAGAGGCCCTAAGGTGTCACCATGCACTGTGTCTCCGTTTCAGCGGAGTCGCAGACAGGAATTCCCACGCCTTGGGGGGAGGGGGGGGGTTGAGCACAAATACAGACGGGGAGGCAGGGAGAACGGAGGAGCCAGAATCCACTGTGCTCTCGCCCTGTCCAGACGACAGCATTGGCAGAAAGGGAGCCTGCGGCCGCCTGCCACAGTGTGCTCTCCACTGGAGCTCTGTGGCCATGCTCTGTGGCCATCCTCAGGTCTGTGGCCATGCTCTGTGGCCATCCTCAGCTCTGTGGCCATGCTCTGTGGCCATCCTCAGGTCTGTGGCCATGCTCTGTGGCCATGCTCTGTGGCCATCCTCAGGTCTGTGGCCATGCTCTGTGGCCATCCTCAGGTCTGTGACCATGCTCTGTGGCCATCCTCAGCTCTGTGGCCATGCTCTGTGGCCATCCTCAGCTCTGTGGCCATGCTCTGTGGCCATCCTCAGCTCTGAGGCCATGCTCTGTGGCCATCCTCAGGTCTGTGACCATGCTCTGTGGCCATCCTCAGGTCTGTGGCCATGCTCTGAGGCCATGCTCAGCTCTGTGGCCATGCTCTGTGGCCATCCTCAGGGAGCTCACGGAGACACGGGAGTGACCGTGGGGTGGCGTCCAGTGGCATGCCCCTGGGAAGACTGGGAGGGGCTCTTTTTCCTGTTGTAAGAGAGCAGCCTGCCTTGACAGTCGGCCTGGGCTTGTGCTTAGGTCTCCGCTGGCATCTGGACCCCCCGGCCTGTGTTCCATACATCAGCCTGTTTTGCTGTGAGTTTCTTGTCATCTTGGCACTGCTGGGCCGAGGTCGGGAAAGGCTGCTGCTGCCAGTACTGTTTATCTTCTAGCTCTGTTTTCTCTCCCGCCTTCCTAGGCCTCTTCTCTCAGGCCGGCCTCCTTCAGGGATTCCAATAGCTCATTCCCTCGGTGACACCGATCTGTTTTATTAGTTTAACTCCAGCTAATGTGACAGGCCGGTGGCCTCAGCTGGCCAACCCAGCCCAGGGATGATTGACGATGTTACCCCGCCCCCCATCCAAGACCATGGAGAGCAGAGATGGCAAGGCGGTGGGTTGGGAGATAGTTGGGCTTCTCGGCAGCCATGCAGGTCTGGGGGCTCATGCAGCTTCCAGCCACCGACCTGTCTCTCTGGCCGCCCTAAATTTTCTCCCACCCCTCTCTGGTCTGGAGCTGGGCCCCTGAACAAATGCTCCCTAAATGCCAGTTGAGAAAATGGATAAAAGAATAGATGGATGGCCCTGGCCAGTTTGGTTCAGCGGTTAGGGCACCGGCCTGCGGACCAGAGAGTCCCGGGTTCGGTTCCCACTAAGAGCACGTACCTCCATTACAGTTTGTCCCCGGTCCCGGTTGGGGTCGTGTGGGTGGCAGCCAGTCGATGTGTCTCTCTCACGTCGATGTTTCTCTCTCTCTCTTTCTCCCTCCTGCTCTATCTGAAGATAAATGCAAAAATGTCCTTGGGTGAGGATAAAAAAAAGAATAGATGGATGAGTATCATTATTCAGGGAATCAATGTGACAGCAACAACAGACTCGAACCCTTTACCTGGAGTAAGGTTCTTTCCCTCTGTCCCCTAGCGGCTTGCTCAGTCTCCTGTCCCCCGTACCTCTTACACTTTGCACCCCGGTGATTCAGGACGGCCCGCCCTCCCGAGCCCCGCCCTCCCGAGCCCCGCCCCAGCAGCTCTCCTCCCGCTGGGAGACACCTTACCTTCGCCCGCTCTGTGAGATGATGTTTTCACACCCATTCAATACTGTTTGTTAAGAACCGATCTCCAAAACACCCTCTAGTCAGCTTCCCCTCTCTGGGCCCCCGGACTCACAGGCTCCCGCAAAGGTGCCCTCGCCCACGGGCTGCGGTCAGAACCAGTGTTTCTGTGGGTGGGTGAGCTGGCAACTCCCATTCCACTGTGTCGCTGATGTCTCTGGGCCACTGGTACTTAACAAGCTCCAAGAACCCTGGACTCAAGATGGCAGGCACTGGTATGCCATGCCTGGCACCTGCAGGGGCACAGAAAGGGGTGCACTGGGTTGAGGTGAGCTGAGGGCGAGCAGCTCACCTGAGAATGGCTGGTGCTGCAGCAGGTGGGGCAGGACTGCTGACCCCACAGTGCTGACCCCACAGTGCTGACCCCACAGTGCTGACATCACACTGCTGACGTCACACTGCTGACGTCACACTGCTGGCCCCACACTGCTGACGTCACACTGCTGACCCCACAGTGCTGACCCCACAGTGCTGACCCCACACTGCTGACGCCACACTGCTGACGCCACACTGCTGACACCACACTGCTGACGTCACACTGCTAACCCCACACTGCTGACGTCACAATGCTGACCCCAC